ATATATATCAGAGTCAGAGATTCTTTATTGTCATTCGCACCTCATGTGGTACATGTGGTGGAGCGGAATTATGTACACAGGGTCCCAGTTACATCCAACAATAAAATGTATAAGAAAAACAGTAATAAGATCTAAGATATGAACTAAGAAAAACATCAACTAAATATACACTAAGCACTAATAGCATATAAACATTACGTTGAACATCAGCACAAACATGAGCATGAGTCTGTGTAAGCAGATGATCATGCATGAACACAACAACATTGAAACAGATCAACAGCAACATGAAGTGATCTTTTTCACAGTGATTATTCTGGTTCATGAGTTCTAACAGCTTAAGGGTAGAAGCTGATTGTCAGTGTAGTGGTTCTACACTTCATGCTCCTCAACCTTCTACCTGAGGGGAGCGGGGCAAAACGTATTTGTGCTGGGTGAGTGGGGTCCTTCATGATGCAGGTGGCTCTCTTCCTGCATCTGGAGGTGTAAATGTCTGTGACGATGGGGAGACTAACTCCAACAGACTTCTGTGCAGCCTTCACCATTCTCTTCAAAGCTTTTCTTCCTGCAGCTGTGCAGCCTCCATGCAACACGTTGATGCTGGAGCACAGGATGCTCTCCATTGCATACCTGTAGAAGGAGGTGAGGACTGAGCTTCCTAGACCAGCTCGTCTCAGCTGCCTGAGGAAGTACACATATATATATATATATATATATATATATATATATGTATAGTACTTTGTCAATGCCAAGGCTAAGTGACAAAGTACCTTCCGAAAGTCTGCTAGAAGATCTGAATACAGCATTTCTAAATTTCCCTACTGACATCTTCACAGAGACCACTAGCACCACAGCCAGTGATCCTTGACTTGCTTGGCTGTAAGATACAGTCAACATTGAATAAGGAGCATTGCCCATCATGGAGAAGGATGACAATTACTAAGATGAAAGCAACACAGAGTAATCAGCCAGCTGTCAGAATAACAGAAAGTTGCAATGAATAAAGAGCCACCACAAAAATATTGCAACATGTTCATACCTGAGGCCATAGAGACTGACAAACAATGTATCACAGCTCTGGCTACTCACTCAAAGTGGTACACTCAAGAAACAGAAGCCATGAGAATAAACAGGATATTGTCCACAACAACATCCAGAGTGTACTATCAATGGGAGGGAAAAACACGAAGGTATATTCACCCAGAGTTGAGACTGAGAATACTGGAACAGCATATGGGAAAATGGAGGCATCATAGAATAATGATGTCCCATGGCTACAAGATCAAATATATGAACACAGCAATCTCCCAAAACCAGAATCAGTGCTAATTACAGTGACAGACATTCAAGACAGAGTCTCAGGAATGACTAGCTGGACTTCACCTGGGATTGACATGATCCACACCTACTGGCTAAAGAAACTACTGCTCTCCGTGAATGCCTAGCAGCACAGATAACCAGCTTCTAATGGAAGAGTCCCACCCAGAGTGGTTGACTCAAGGCTAGACAGTCCTTGTCATGAAAGACCCCCAGAAAGAGATAATCCCATCCAACTACCAACCAATTACTTGCCTCTGTCCCACATGGAAGCTCCTATCAGGCATCATAATGGTGAAGATGAATAGGCACAGACCCAGACTTAAACAGCAGGTTTGTATCAACATGCTTTTTTGCATCACATTTTGGTCACTTTTCACTTTTGTCTTGTATTAATATTTTTTATTTATTTTCACAATTGTCCATTAATGCAACTTGCCTTTCCATTAAAAAAAATATAAGTATATCCTGTACAAAAGAAAATGGGCCAACAATGTTAAAAAAATAAAATAACATAAAAAAGCCTTCCCCTAATGTGAACATTCTCAGAGCCTGAATTAGCAAAATAAAGACTGTTGGTACCTCTTATATCTGAGTTTTTTTTTTTTTTTTTTTTTCAAAAATCAAAACCAAACTTGTCACACATAGTTTCATGTTTCTAATGTTCACTCAATGAAAATAAAGTTAAAATATGTTATTCAAATAAACATAATATTGTATTTGTTGGGGAATATTTCACCTGTGAAATTACACTCTACTAAAATGCATCTACAATGTCCATTTATGATAATCCAGAAGTATTTAATTCAGAAATATTTAAATTGTTAACTCATTTTTCAATACTGTCTGTACAACAATGATACAGAAGTGTATCAGACTTTAACTGAACAATGGGTTCATTCAGTAAAAATAATTTATTTACATAAATTGCAATGATACACATTCAATCATTAGTCACTGGGTTATACTGACTGCCATACTGATATTTTTTACATCTAGAAACATAAATATAAAACAATAAAACCTGTGGAGTCAGAGATGAGGATATAGTACACATCACAAGCTTATATGTATGTCATTTTTGAAGTTTCAGTACTCTTCATCTTTCTTAGCTGTGGCTTTGTACTCCTCACAGCTAAAACTATTGTTATGAAAACCTGTTTATTATTCAAGCTGTACCTTTTGCAGGATAATAACCCCCTCTTGCGTGTTTTCATCTGTTGTTATGTTGAACATGCCAGGCCCATCACCATCCATAATTCTGTAGTCCATCTCTGCATTGGAGCCTATGTCAGCATCTGCTGCTTTGATCCTGGCCACCACGGACTGGACCGGCAGCGACTCCAACACTGTGTACTGATAGCTCTCTGGAAAAAAAAGAAGGAAAGAAATGGAGGTTTATAGTAGATGTTCTTACTTTGCAACAACCTTACCTGCATTAGATTAAAAGCTGGAGCAGTAACAGAGAGTGATTAAAAACAGAAAAGCTTTTCCATTTCTTATTAGGCTCAAGTATACAGACCTAAGTAAATTATGCTATTAAAAGGATAAATACTACTTTCGGAAATAAGAGTTATTTGATTAGCCTCACTTTTGACAATAATTGATTAGTTTTGATATGTCTGACAAGCTATTGACGCACAGCATAACAAAGATTGACGTGGATTACTGCCATCCTAAAACAGCTCTCATATGTAAAATTTCAGAGCTACAACTGAAATGCCACAGTTCATTTTTGTTAATATTTGCTCATGGAAATACCCATAGGATTCTATGTAAATAGCTGTAATACAAAAATGGTGATAATGTAAAGAATTAAAAAATAGCTTTTGCAAGAAATTTGGTGACAATTACGAGATTGGAAATGTTTCAGGATGAAAATAATTCACTTTGGTCCTGGCCTCACTTGGCCTAGCAGTTAGCTCATCTTTACAGGTAGAAAAAAAAATAAAAAAATAAAACAATTCTCCAAGCTGAGGTGGTTCCAAGAGTGAACAACAGTCAATTCAAAGATATCAATTGCTCATATCCTTCCATTCATCTATCTAGCCATCTATCCATCCATTATCTTGATCTGCTTCTTCCTTTTCGGGTTGTGGGGGTTACTGGTGCCCATATCTAGCAGTCACTGTGAAAGAAGCAGGGTACACCCTGGACAGGATGCAAGCCCATCACATGGCCACATAGAGACAAATGAGAAAACCCTCTCATTCACACCTATGGACAATAGTGTTACTAATCAGCCTAACATGCAAGTTGTTGGTCTGTGGGAGGAAACCAGAGTACACTGAGAAAACCCAAGCATGCACAGAGAAAAAATGTAAACTCCATCCAGAAAGGCCCCTGGCCGGGATTCAATTTGGTGACCTTCTCACTGAGAGGCAGTAGCTCTTCCAACTGTGCCACTGTGCCACCCTTGATTATAACCTTTCAAGAGAAATCCATCTTAAAATATCTGAAGAAAGTGAAACCGATTTTAGTTTTCTTTAAGCTTTACGGTTAAAAACCTAGATAAAACTATAAGGAAAAAGTTCCTAATTACAATTGCTCATAGAAGCTGTCTAACGTACCCAAGAAAAGTGGGAAGAAAGGAACAACAGGAGTCATGTTCCAATCCCTTTGTTACAAGTCACAAGATGAAACGTCCAGTCACAAATTCTATTACTCCAAAATTCTTTATTGTGTTCTCCAGGCTTTTGTTGGGCCCCCTGAATTTAAAGTACTCTTATAAGAATAAAGAAGGGAATCATATTCATAATTATAATCTCCCCAATCACCATGGCAGAGCTCATTACCAGACCTTTCTGTGTTCTTCCGTGTCTCCCTCAGCCACCGTCTAAATGCTAATCTGCCTGACATTGTTTGCCACCATGTAATCTTTATAATGGCTTTTTAATATGCCATGGAATAGCAGCTCTTTAAAAAAAAAAAAAAAAAAAAAAAACTTCTCCCTTTGTATTACCCTTGCATTTTCCTCCCAGCACTGCCTATCCAGAAAACCTTCCAGTTCACACGACAAACCTTACAATCCCTGCCCCCCAAACCTTTTCAACTAACCATTGCCCTGTATTTTGTCTGCTCTGATGCTCCATAATGGTGTATCGATTCTGACCCATGAACCCCTGAGCACAACAGCAGGAGCAAAACCCAGAACTCCACTGGTTTCTTTCTTCTTAGTGTGGCAGAGCTGGGTTAAAACAACATCGATGACTTGTTGTGCAAACTTGAATCTTTCTTTTCCCCGTAGGGATCAGCAAATTGACTCAGCTTCATGGAAGTCCAGTGGCGAGCACACCAGCAAGACAGTGGTTGGGCTATCAGTGGTAAACCGATTGCCTGTGCTTTGGATTATCATGAGAAGCACCACATGCCTTTGAATTCCTAAAGCTTGCCCTGGAACCCATTAGCAGAATGTGAAATAAGCTGGTAAAAAAGGGATCTGATTGATCCTGGTATCCAAGGCTGGAGCAGACAGCAGGCAGCTCTGATGAAAAATGAACCTGGAAGGTGCACACATTGCAGGAAATCTGTTATTTTTATTTTTTTTTATTTGCTTGTAAAAGTCCCGTTTGCTGAAAATACAAATGCCAGTTAGAAAACCTATGAGGAAAAATAGATTTAAACTCTGCTTTCCTATTAGCAAACAACTTTCTTATGTCAAAAAGCAAGAAAATACATATTTTCATGGTGATTTACTTGATTTATTTTCAGAGTTATTTCTCATCATGAAATAAAACCCTAGTCTTTTTGTAATATTGCCCTCATCAAGTGCACTCATTTGGTTCTCAGTTTAAGTAGTCTTTCAGTGATATTAGATCTTAAGAGCCATATTCAGCTGTAAAAAGGAGAAAAATAGGTAGTTCAAGTCTGATTGCTAAGTAGTTGCTGATCATGGTATGCTATACAAACGTAATCAGCCCCGTGGAGGTAATCAGAAACAGGTGTCTTACTGTGTGTGAATTGTGGTGGGTTATCGTTGACATCAGTAAGCGTGACTGTGACAGAGGTGGTACCGGAAAGTCCGCCCATTTGGCCCACCATATCTTTGGCCTGAATGACTAGCACATACTGGTCTCTCGTCTCCCGGTCCATGTTGGTCAAAGCTGTTCTGATGACACCTGCAAACGTGAGCCAGAGAAAATGACAAATATGATTCATGAATATGAACTTTATTTTGTTGTCAACATTGTCAGTATACCTCATAGTACAATTTTGAGATCTCTGATACAATCGAACCTCCACCTCTCGTTGAAAAGTGTCTAATTGCCACAGGCCTGGCTCATGGCCCATAACAAGAATGAGGGGAGACAAAGGTATGGGACAATTAAAATGGTTTATTGTACAAACAAAAAACCCAAACAAGGATAATAAATATAAATGTGCCAATATGTTTGTGTGTGCAGTATAAGAGTGAGTGGATGTGTAACTAAATAAATATGTCCAACCAAAACCAAACTGGAACCAAGGACAAAAGGTTACCTGGAGGAGTAGGAGAGAGAGAGAGAGCGCGGGGGGCTTGTTAAAAGCTAAGTTAATGTCTGTTGTCTTAGTTTTGGGTGTACTTTGATGCTTTTTGACAGTTTAATTAGTATTGTTTTCCCTTTGGCTTATTGATGATTTTGGCTTGGTTGTAGTTTGACTACTTTGATTGTTTGGAAGTTAGTCTGGCTTAGTAGTTTTGTTTATTTTGTTAAGTTAGGTATTGGTTTTGTTTGCCAAATCTTTGTTGAGGGGATGTTTTGGTTGGGGCATTTGGACTGGAGAAAGCGGTGAGCATGTGTTCCCTTTGTTTGGCTCGGGAGCACCTCCATGGATGGGGAAGGTGACTAGTTCTGGTTACTTTTCACTCCGTTGGGTTTGCGTGCATAAATACCCACCATATGTGACTGCACAAAGACTAGGGCACAGTTAGTTAGCTGTTTTGCAGTATAGTGGGGTGTGGCTCCTATCCTAGACCTAGTTTGGCAGTAGGTGAGTTGTGTTTCTTGTGAATTTGTTAAAGGTTGTATGGTTTGTAATGGCTTCTGTTTTGCACAGTTTTGTTCAGGCTCCTTCACAGATGGCATTAGAGTTGTGCACTAAGGAACAGTTGATTGAGATAGCCCAACATTACAAACTAGGCATAGTTGATAGAAAGCTAAAGGACACTGTTAAGCTTGGTTTAAAACAAGGTCTTATGGAAGCAGGGATTATTTGTAGTCAAGCTGCTGGTAATCAGGGTGCAGGTTATCAGTTCAGCGACTAGTCCATCTGCACTGACTTTTGAGCAGCAGAGGGAGCTGTTACAGATGCAGTTAGAAATAGAGGGGTTGAGATGAGCTAATAGACCAGCTGCAGATTCCAGAATACAGTTTGATGTTGCACAGAATCACAGTGTGTTGCCTAAATTTGATGAGTCAGATGTTGACACTTATTTCACTTTGTTTGAAAGAATAGTCCTATTCAAGTCTGACCAACCTGTAGAATCTGCTATGTTGTTGCAATGTGTTCTAACGGGTAAAGCACGTGAGGCTTTTTCAGCTTTGAGTGGGGCTGACAATAAAGTTTATGCTTAAGTTAAATCGACAGTGTGGAAAATGTATGAGCTTGTCCCAGAGTCATATCGCCAACGTTTTTGGTTTAGGAAAAAAATAGACTCACAAACTTATTCTGAGTTTGTTCATGATCTAACGCTTGCATTTAACCATTGGTCTACAGCTTCTGAGGCTACTACTTTTGAAGATCTTTGTAATTTATTTGTGTTGGAACAGTTAAAAAATTATGTACATGAAGGAGTTGCAACTGACATAAATGAATGTAAAGTAACATCTCCATCCGAAGCAGCAGCTCTTGCAGACGAGTATTTGCTGACACAGCATGAGCCAGGCCTGTGACACTAACCCACACCCAAACATTAAATTTAGCATCTTTAACATTTCACAGGTGAAAACTACAAGTGAGAAATTATATGTTTATATAGGAAAAGTGACCACATTTATGTAAACTTTTCTTAAAAGTTGTATATTTTTTGTGCTTAATCTCTCAGGTTTAAATTTCCACTGGGGCCATTATGTGTGAAGTTTATTGGAGATAATAAATAGTGCTTAATACACTTTTTAAAACATTATCTAACAATATAGGACTGGAGAAACATAAAAAAAAATGTATTTCAGTTTTTGAAATCACTTTGACAATAAAGTTAGTTGGCACTGTAGTATGACAATATATGAGATATATATGCATACAATATTCACGAGTTCCTCATCTTTCTGACTGTGTAATGTCGTGCATTGAATTTAACAGAAATGTAACGAGAGACGTTATTTATCTTTGACCCATCAAAATGAATGCGGTCATTTATTTTCAGAATCAAAATTTAACATCAAACATTTACATTAATTTGGCAAAATATGAAAATAATAACAGACAAGTTTCACAGAAAATGAACTTCAATCACGCGGCGGTGACTGAGGACTTTGCTTCAGATATTTCTAAAATATCTGTACTGATTTTATGAGATAGAGGAGAGTTTTAAGATGAAATGGAGATTTATCTTACAGAGAGATATGTGAGGGAATTAATCTGTTTGACCAGAAATTGCACGCTCCATCAGATATCAGCTTGCCCACGGTACACTTGGTCGAGAATAGGACCCTCTACCTGTTGATGATGAAATCAGCGTCGGAGCAGGTTCCTTTCTGACTCTTTTCAGCGTCTCCGTGAGAACTGCCAAACCCTCAGAGAGTCGTACGTGGTGTTCAAACAGAAATTATAATCCCAAAACGTCTCTGGATCATCCTGAACGCGTTTGCACCCAAGAACTCTGAACTCCTTTCATTCTTCAGAACTTCTCAGACTCTAACAGAATCTTTCAACTCCAGCAACTCTGTAGTTCTTCATCTCCTCAGCCTCTGGAATTCTCTGGAATTCTTTGGAATTCTCACTTGAACTGGGAAGTTGCCACATTTTAAATGGGTCGACTTCCGGTTCATTTGAGAGCTTTTGATTGGTCGATGGACCAGGAATAGAGGTGTGGTGTATGATGTAAGATGTTATTAAAAATCAAGGATTGTTTAGTAACGAACAGAAAGATTATTGTAGGACTTCAGACTTCGTGGAGTCTCACACTTATAATCTTCTGAAAAAGTTTAAACATGACATCTTTCTCGGTAAACATTTTAGTTGACCGAAAACCGACCTTTAACATACTTACATTGCAGGCAGAAAAATCAAGAAATGCATATTAACCTGATTTCTTCTTTGAATGGAATAAAAATCATTACTTACTGTTTATGTAAAATAAAAATGAGTAGTTCTTTTCAACCTGTAACATTCAGTGAACTAACACAATTTGATTATCAAACATTTGTAAACAGTGATGATCATAGAGAATTGTCTTTTCTGCTTGATTAATTCAAGAAAGAAAGTCATCAGATGGCTCAGACTGTATTCAGATCAATGAAATAACAGTCCCTGTCCATCTGATAGATTTGGGGTCATCAGGGTCAGATCAGGGTCAGATCAGGTTCACTACAGCACCACTGGGAAACATGGTCCATACCAGTCTTTCAACTTGTGGTTAAAAAAAAAAAAAAAAAAAAACGCAAAAAAACAAACTCAAAGTGAATTTCCATAATGGCTGTTGCTTTGTTTACAATCATTTCTCTATCTTCGGTGGCTGAAAAGTGCTGTCACTCCAAATAGTTTAGTAGTCTGATGTTTGATGAGGCAAATGTTAAGACATTTTCAGAAAAGTGAGCACAAGCAAGAGGACAATTTTGCCACCAGGGAAGGCATCATCTGTCTGTCCCCCTGTCATGACTCAATACCCTCAGAAGCAAAAATAAGAGATGCAACAAACTGGAATCAAATAACTGCCATTTGCCTTTTCTTTTTTTTTTTTTTTGCACCTGAACCACTTTATCCAACAGCTTTTGTAGTGCAAAACCAACATGTCAGAGTCAGAGTCCGAGTCAGAGTCAGAGTTTCTTTATTGTCATTCGCACCTCATGGGGTACATGTGGTGGAGCGAAATTATGTACACAAGGTCCCAGTTACATCCAACAATAAAATGTATAAGAAAAACAGTAATAACATCTGAGATATGAACTAAGAAAAACATTAACTAAATATACACTAAGCACTCATAACATAAAACATTGAACATCAGCACAAACATGAACATGAGTCTGTGAGCAGATGTGCACGCATGAACACATCAACATTGAAACAGATCAGCAGCAACATGAAACAGATCAGCAGCAACATGATATGGTTTTTCACAGTGATTATTCTAGTTAGTTAACATGTGGTCCACAAACAGAGATACAGAAATGACTAAATTGTAAAATGGTTTTAATACTTTCTTAATTTCAAGTTTATTTCTTAAATATTTGTTTTAGGATAAAAAAACAAAAATCTGACCAGATTAAAAAAATAAATAAAAAAATCAGTTTTCCTAATATCCTAATCATTCACAGGTAATCATTGGCACCTTGGAGGTGAATGATTTATCACACATGTTCCATTCATTAAATGGTACTTATTAAAGATTCTTACAGAAAATGAAAGATTACTCATTAGGAACCACATAAAGCCACAGCGTGCAATTTCTGAATAAATTAATCACATTTCTTTATTTTATCATATTCACAGCCCAATGAATAAGATTGTGAGTATGTGGGGGGATGGAGGTGGGGGTCTCATTTTAAGAGCTGAAAATTTATGATTTTCTAAAAATCCTTGAACTTACACGCAGTAGCTCACTGACTGAGGTCCATGTTTTTATGAAGACAAAAGAAAAATGTCTGTAAGCATGTAAATAAATGATGTATTTTTAATGAAAATCTGAACGAATCAAAGTTTTAAATGGGTCACATTTATATATTGCATTTGAGCCCTATTTACGTTCTACAAATCTATTGTAGGTTTCCCATTTATCCATTCAAAACAGCACTGGTTTAGTCTTAATAACACATGATTTCATTTGATCTAAACTTCATACTTTGTACATGCACACCTTTTTGTCCGCAGTATGCAAAGTGGAGGTTTGGTATTTGAAGAACATTCTGACACCGAGTGGCTTTAACCAACCAACATTAAAACTGAAAGAGGAAAAATCAATCGTTTATGCAGGGCT